ATAACGAACTTTACTGACAGCAGCGAGCTAACAACAAAATAGATCATAGAAAACTCACGGTTCCCAATAATTGCACGAGAATTCTCCAAGTAAAGACAAGATATTTACTGAGGTACACGAATGAGCTGCTTTGCAGACAGCAGCGAACTAATAGCCTCTTTATGGGTATTTCCGACGAAATCGAGGTAGCGACGGTCGCTATATTGACGAAACGACGATATTGACGATTAAGGCGACGACCGTTTTGCCATTTCGATAACGTTTGATCTGACTACATGAGTCTTGCGATAGCGAAAAAGAAATCTACCAAACAGGGTGCTGCACCTTCAGAGTTTCGTTATTCATTTCCCAAAACAATGAAACGGCGGCCATTGTGGAGTACCAAACAAATCCTGTGGGAGTTGAACCTTTTTCTTATGAAAAAAATTTCTTTTGTTCAAATAAAATTGTGTGAAAGAAAAACGCTTTCTCTATTTAGACAAAATCGTTAGGGCGCATGACGGAATATCAAGAAGGCAGGGAGAGGTGGTGATATTACCCTGGCCCGGGTAGGAGTCAACCTTCTTTGCTACAAGCAGAGAGAACCTGGGAACGAAGTTGGGTAGGAGTTTCGGCCGCTTCGTTCTAAGCGCATTCTCGGAGACCCAGGGACAGCTACAATCCTCGTCAAAAATCTTTAAACACTTCCCCAATGTTGATTTGGTTATTACAGTGGTCTCAGTGTTTCAAAATACGCGTCGCTCAATATTGGGGAGGGAGAGGGCACATTACAGTGAGAACAAAAGTGTGAGGAGTAAAAATCTCAAGAATTTTCCAGAAATTTCAAGAGAACGGTGTCTGTTTCAACGATTTGTGACGAGTATTGTAGTCGGGACAATTCTATCGTCCCAAGTAGCTGCCCCTGGGTCTCTGAGGATGTTCTAAGCATTATGAACTTATAACAAACAGCACTTGTGATTTGTGTTAACCCTTTTAGCCACAAGAGTGACCAATATCAATTTTCTCCTAACAATTTCACCATATTTTTAAGAGAAAAGGTTCAGAGAATTTATAAATTGATCAGGAAAAAGGAAATGCTTTTATCCTTGTCTCCAAACGGGAATCTAAAGAATGATATGGCGACTATTATTGTTGTTGTTTTCCCACTTTGGCCAATTTTTTGTCGCGTTATCATTTCTAAATCTACCTATTATTATTATTTCATTATTAACTCAACTGCTTGTAAAACGCGCTTAGCAGATATAAAAGAATGGGCGCCATGAACTTTTGAATGAGGTGGAAGAAACTGCGAGCATGGTTTACATGGACATTCTAGAATGGATTCAGCAAAAAGCTACCTTGAACTGTTTTATGCCACTTGCGCACGAATCCAGACTAATTTTTGAAACTGCATAACTTTTTACCCCGATTCGTTTAGACTGAGGCCTTAAATCACTCCGGAGAGCGGTTACAAAAAGATATTAGGCTGATTTAGTAATAGAACGGGAACGTCAGTTGACGACGACGCGCGCAAATCAAACAACTGGCTTGACTAATGACAGAGCAGCAAATTAAGCACCGGAAGTCGCGTTCAATCCTTTCCACGTGCTTTTCCGTCTTTAACTGACGTTCCCGTTCTGTTGCTAAATCAGCCTATTGTTTCGGTGAGAGGATTCACTGGTTTCGCGCGTGGACGGAATACCAGACGGAAGGCCGATTCATGTGAAAAGTGTATGTAAATGTGGTTTCAAAAATATCCGGATTTGTGTGGAAGGGGCTTTTCACGATAGTGTCAATTTACAAATATGACCAGACTCATTTCATTTTTTCAGTTCTTTCATATTTAATTCGGTAAATTCAGAAGCCTTAATTTGCATAAGAAAGCCAAATTCTGAAGGATTCTAAAAAGAGCCGTTTGCACGATGGCGTCATTTTACTATACCAGATTCCTTCATGGTTTTGCTTTCTTATGCAAGTCAGGGTTTTTGTCATTTAAACCTCAGTGCATGGGATTACCAAATTTAAATGTGAAAGAAAAAATGAAATGAATTTCTTTAGCAGCAAAAACAAGTCATCGCGTAAATAGCCAATTAGGCCCCGTGACCCCAGTCTATTCTGAACTGCTTCATTATTCGGGCTGGGAGGGTAACCCTTATAGGGCGTATTAAATCTCGGGCAACTGACGTTCAGTCAGAGTCAATCTCTGTATTTTAACGCCAGGTTTGATTTACAGTTTGATATTCTTAAATAATAATAGCCTGCGATCATGCTCTCTCTAAAAAACGCCTGTTTTAAAAAAAGACGATGAAACATGAGAAACTATAGTTTTACACTATTTACTTATTTCTGTTTTCGTCTTTTGTGGCTATGGTTTGTATTTTTAAATTCTGTTTCAGTTTTGCGGTTTAATTTTGTATTTTTTTGAGTGTGTTTCCTGTTGGGGATGCTTATTTCCGTTTGGGGATTTGTGTTTCTGTTTTCCGGTAGTGTTTTTCTGTTTTGGGTTTCTGTTTTGTCTTATGTGTTTCTGTTTTGGGTTTGTTCTTTTCTATTTTTGTTGTTGTTGTTGTCTTGTGGTTTTTTTCTTTCTATCGGCCACCCTATATATTTGATAGTCCTCTGCATGTAAATCCAACCACTGGAGAACACTTCAAAACTCCGTTGAAAATTTCTTCACAGAGATCAAACCGTTCAGGTAGGAAATAATCTCCTTTAACTTGGAATTTGTCCAATCAGATATTTCTGCAAGGTTTATTTTGATTTCCTGCTGTAGCCTTTTTTTCCATCTCTTTTTTACTTAGAAATAATTAATTATAAGTTTAGACCGGTTTGCGACCGCGAAGCAAAGTATGTTTGTTCCATGTTTTAAGCAAAACGTCCGACTAGAATATTGTTTTGACCGATTTGTGTTTCTCTCCCTTCGTTGTCTCCCTTTTCCGCTACTCTTTTCCACTTCCTTTCCACCCCTCCCCCGCCTCCAAATCCACAACCCCTAGGCCTTCAATCAAAACCAAGAAAATCCCTACCCCTCCTCACACAAGCAACGCTAGATATTCAGGATAATTTGTGTTAAATGTGGATCTCTCATGTTGTAGAAGTCAAAGATTTATAATAATTTTCATTTTTATTACAATAGCTAACGAATGAAGACCTGCTTTGTGCATAAATTTTTGAAATCAAGTCTTGCATCGATTAATAAGAAATTGAGGTCATGAACTTAGTTAGTCAAGACATTTTTTCTCAAACTGTTGCCTTTTAAATTTTTTGATGTGCATTGGGATTATGTAAGTTGTACTGTCAGAGAGGTTTTCAGGAAAATTACTGTTTTTGAAGTAAATCGCTTTTATTTCTGCTCTATGTAAGGCAAACAATTTAAAATTTGTTGTGGTTTGCTAGTTTGTGGTCTCTCTGAAATTTGCATGTAATGTTATTGTTGCCAGGCAGCAGACTCATTTTTGAGGATTAGACCTAGCCCCATTTCTCTGGACTTAACCTGTGTACAGCCGCCCCCTCCTCTCAGGTAAACAATTTTTTCTGACGGGAGGGCGCCTGTACACAGGCTATTTGGACTGAATCAATTTACCGTAAAATTCCGAAAATAAGCCCCTCCATGTATAAGCCCCTCCAAATAGCTCCCCAAACCGGTAACGCAAAAAACCCTCCGTTAAATCGCCCCTCCAAATATAAGCCCCCCGGGGGCTTTTACTTGGAAAATTGCCCTCAAATAAAAAGTAAAACAAAGCTAAAACGGTAAATTTACTTCCAACTATAAGGCTAGCCCAATCGATTTTGAAACGCAAATATCCCTCCGTAGATAAGCCCCTCCGAATATAGGCCCCTCCAAAAATAAGCCCCTCAAAAAAGGCCTTTGAAAAATACAAGCCCCGGGGCTTAGTTTCGCAATTTTACGGTATGTAAACTAGATGGGGAGAATGTTATGGCTATAATAGAATCATCAAAGCACGGCTGCAGAGTGAGAAAGCCGTATAACCTTGGTATTTTCTTCTTGGTGTTTAGATAAAAAGATCTACTCTTTTTACTCAGATATGTAAGAACTTTATAGTTTCAACTTAACTGGACTTAACTTTGGCCCTTTTGCAGTTTCTCTTGCAATCCGTGCACGAGCATAGAATTAAACAAAACCCTTACGGATAAAGCTAAAAAGAAATGACTCTTGATTTGGCTGAATATGTTCCGATCCATATATTAAAGTTGAATTATTCAAAACCCTCAAAATTGACGCTAAAAACCCGGCCCCAAAAAGCTGGTCTATACCTCAGACCAAAACAGGGACGATAGAGCTAAACGTTGGCATTAGGTTGATGTCTCCATGGTAACTAAGTGCACCCAATTTGACCAAAAACGACCGACACCTACTTCCAATCCTACCACACTCTCTAAGGCAGAAGCTCTCAACTATATTTTCATTTAGTATCCCAGGAGTTTCAAAAATGATTAGTTTTTTGCACTTAATGTACCTAATTATTCAGAAAACAAAGAAAGGTTAGCGTACACAAAGATGATTTTTTGAGTATTTTCATCTTAATTTATAGAAAAAAGTTTTAAGGGATTCTAAATGAAATATTGTGTTATAACAGACAGAATATTTCCGGAGATGCGTCAGTTAGATTAAAACTAGGGACGAAGGAGTGGAAAGTTGTATCATGTCTTATCTGTCAAATGGGGACATATTCTAAGACTTCAAATGTATTAATGAGAATTATATTTGTTTTTTCTCCACCTCCACGCTCCATTAAAGAAACCTTACTGCAAAGAAACAGTTCCACTTTGAATACTTCAATTTCGAAATGGCAGAAAGAATACTACAAGAAATAGCTGAACAAAAAAAGCGTCTGACAATGGCGCAAATCAATAAAGACACAGAAGAAGAAGCAGATGCCTACTACAATCTAGGCAAAGCTTATTACTCCCTCCCTGACTTCCATCAAGCAATAGAGTGCTTCAAGCAGAACCTGAACATTGCTGAGGAAGCCAGTGACAGAGAAAGTGAAGCAATAGCCTATAGGTATCTCGGCAATGCTTATTTCTCCCTCTGTGAATTCCAACGAGCAATAGAGTACCACAAGAAAAGCCTGAGTATTTCCCAGGAAATCGGTAACAGGGATGGAGAAGGACGTGCCTATAATAATCTCAGCTGTACTTATCACTCCCTCAGCGAATTCCAACGAGCAATAGAGTACCAGAAGAAAAGCCTGAGGATTGCCAAGGAAATCGGTGACAGGAAAAGAGAAGGATGTGCCTATGGCAATCTTGGCAATGCTTATGACTCCCTCAGCGAATTCCAGCGAGCAAAAAAATACCACAAACAACACCTCAGCATTGCCAAGGAAGTTGGTAACAAAACATGTGAAATAAAAGCCTATGGTAGTCTCGGCTGTACTTATCACTCCCTCAGCGAATTCCAACGAGCAATAGAGTACCAGAAGAAAAGCCTGAGGATTGCCAAGGAAATCGGTGACAGGAAAGGAGAAGGATGTGCCTATGGCAATCTTGGCAATGCTTATGACTCCCTCAGCGAATTCCAGCGAGCAAAAAAATACCACAAACAACACCTCAGCATTGCCAAGGAAGTTGGTAACAAAACATGTGAAATAAAAGCCTATGGTAGTCTCGGCTGTACTTATCACTCCCTCAGCGAATTCCAACGAGCAATAGAGTACCAGAAGAAAAGCCTGAGGATTGCCAAGGAAATCGGTGACAGGAAAGGAGAAGGAGGTGCCTATGGCCATCTTGGCAATGTTTATCAATCCCTCAGCGAATTCCAGCGAGCAAAAAAATACCACAAACAACACCTCAGCATTGCCAAGGAAGTTGGTAGCAAAAGATGTGAAGGAGCTGCCTATGGCAATCTCGGCTGTGCTTATGACTCCCTCAGCGAATTCCAACGAGCAATAGAGTACCACAAGAAAAGCCTGAGGATTGCCAAGGAAATCGGTGACAGGAAAGTAGAAGGAGGTGTCTATGCTAATCTCGGCGTTGTTTATCGATCCCTCAGCGAATTCCAAGAAGCAATAGAGTACCACGAGCAAGCGCTGAGCATTGCCCAGGAAATCGGTAACAGGAAAGGAGAAGGAAGGGCCTATGGTAATCTCGGCTGTGCTTATGAATCCCTCAGCGAATTCCAACAAGCAATAGAGTACCACAAGAAAAGCCTGAGTATTGCCCAGGAAATCGGTGACAGGGATGGAGAAGGACGTGCCTATAATAATCTCAGCTGTACTTATCACTCCCTCAGCGAATTCCAACGAGCAATAGAGTACCAGAAGAAAAGCCTGAGGATTGCCAAGGAAATCGGTGACAGGAAAAGAGAAGGATGTGCCTATGGCAATCTTGGCAATGCTTATGACTCCCTCAGCGAATTCCAGCGAGCAAAAAAATACCACAAACAACACCTCAGCATTGCCAAGGAAGTTGGTAACAAAACATGTGAAATAAAAGCCTATGGTAGTCTCGGCTGTACTTATCACTCCCTCAGCGAATTCCAACGAGCAATAGAGTACCAGAAGAAAAGCCTGAGGATTGCCAAGGAAATCGGTGACAGGAAAAGAGAAGGATGTGCCTATGGCAATCTTGGCAATGCTTATGACTCCCTCAGCGAATTCCAGCGAGCAAAAAAATACCACAAACAACACCTCAGCATTGCCAAGGAAGTTGGTAACAAAACATGTGAAATAAAAGCCTATGGTAGTCTCGGCTGTACTTATCACTCCCTCAGCGAATTCCAACGAGCAATAGAGTACCAGAAGAAAAGCCTGAGGATTGCCAAGGAAATCGGTGACAGGAAAGGAGAAGGAGGTGCCTATGGCCATCTTGGCAATGTTTATCAATCCCTCAGCGAATTCCAGCGAGCAAAAAAATACCACAAACAACACCTCAGCATTGCCAAGGAAGTTGGTAGCAAAAGATGTGAAGGAGCTGCCTATGGCAATCTCGGCTGTGCTTATTACTCCCTCAGCGAATTCCAACGAGCAATAGAGTACCACAAGAAAAGCCTGAGGATTGCCAAGGAAATCGGTGACAGGAAAGTAGAAGGAGGTGTCTATGCTAATCTCGGCAATGTTTATCGATCCCTCAGCGAATTCCAAGAAGCAATAGAGTACCACGAGCAAGCGCTGAGCATTGCCCAGGAAATCGGTAACAGGAAAGGAGAAGGAAGGGCCTATGGTAATCTCGGCTGTGCTTATGAATCCCTCAGCGAATTCCAACAAGCAATAGAGTACCACAAGAAATGCCTAAGTATTGCCCAGGAAATCGGTGACAGGGAAGTAGAAGGAGGTGCCTATGCTAATCTCGGCGGTGCTTATCAATCCCTCAGCGAATTCCAACAAGCAATAGAGTACCAAAAGAAAAGCCTGAGTATTGCCCAGGAAATCGGTAACAGGGATCTAGAAATATGTGCCTATAATAATCTCGGCGTTGCTTATCAATCCCTCAGCGAATTCCAACAAGCAATAGAGTACCATAAGAAAAGCCTGAGTATTGCCCAGGAAATCGGTAACAGGGATGGAGAAGGACGTGCCTATTGTAATCTCGGCGGTGCTTATCAATCCCTCAGGGAATTCCAACGAGCAATAGAGTACCACAAGAAAAGCCTGACTATTGCCCAGGAAATCGGTAACAGGGAAGGAGAAGGAGGTGCCTATGGTAATCTCGGCAATGCTTATATATCCCTCAGCGACTTCCCACAGGCAATGGAGTACCACAAGAAACACCTGACCATTGCCAATAAAGTCGGTGACAGAGTAGGAGAAGGAATTGCCTATAGTAGTCTCGGCGAGATTTATAGTTCCCTCGGCGACCATCAACGAGCAATAGGGTGCTACAAGCAACACCTGAGTACTGCCAAGAAATTCGGTGACAGGAGAGGAGAAGGAGTTGCCTATTGCCATCTTGGCGATGCTTATTATCTCCTCGAAGACTATCTAGAGGCACTAGAGTACTTTAACGAACACCTGAGAATTGCCGAGGAAATCGGTGACAGGAACGGAGAAGGATGCGCCCATAGCCACCTGGGTCGATCTCTTACACAATTAGGTTTTTTGAATGAGGCTTTACATCATTTTAGATGCAGTGTAGAAATCTTTGACACAATTAGAGCCAGTTTTATTTCCGAAGATAGATCGAAAATAAGTTTCTATACGAGCAAACAATCTGCCTATACTCATTTATGGCAGGTTTTACTACTTCTTGAAAGGAATGATGAGGCTTTATACGCTGCTGAGATGGGACGGGCACAGGCTTTGCTCGATGCCTTAAAAGTAACTTATGGCCTTACATCATCTTCTCCCAGGTCAATTGAATCTGAAGAATACGTCAGAAATATTGCAAGGAAGGCAACTGTTTTAACAGTTTTTCTTGCCCTGGGATGGAAAACAGTCAATATCTGGGTGTTGGGAAAAGAGGGCAACCCCATTTTTAGGCAAGTGGAGATAGAAATTGGTCGTGAACACGAAGATTCCTTTACTCTCCTCTTAGACACTGTTTTGAAAGGATGGAACGTTAAAAGAGGAAAAGAGGGCAACCCTACTTTTAGGCAAGCGGAGATAGAAATTGGACGTGAACACGAACATTTCTTTACTCTCCTTTTAGACACTGTTTTGAAAAACATTAGGGCTGACGTCGGTATTAGGTGCGAAAATCGGTCACTGGATAAGCTGCGTGATGACTCAACTTCCTCAAGTACTCCAGACGACAATCAAACATCGGAGTCATCACAGGAGAGCACCGGCCTTTTACAGCCATTGTATGATGCAGTTCTTGGTCCCATTGAAGATTTGCTTGATGGTGATGAACTAATTGTAGTTCCTGATGGCGCTTTGTCTAAAGCTCCTTGGGCAGCCCTGAATGAAACTTTAAGGATCCGCACTGTTCCCTCACTAACAAGTTTGAAAGTCATCACAGATTCTCCAATTGAATACCACAGTAAAAGTGGAGCCTTACTTGTCGGGGATCCATGTTTGGAGAAAGTTACAGATAAAAACGGGAAGCCTACTAAGTATAGTCCTCTGAAGTACGCAAGAATGGAAGTGGAGATGATTGGAAGAATTCTAGGGAGTCAACCTTTAACAGGTGAAGATGCAACCAAAAAAGCAGTACTTCAGAGAATCGGGTCAGTTGCTTTAGTACACATCGCAGCCCACGGAAAAAAGGAAACTGGAGAAATTTTTTTGGCTCCAGATCCCCGATGGGAATCCAAGCCTCCTACGGAGGAGGACTGCATTATGAAAATGTCTGACATACAAGCTGTTAGGCTGAGAGCGAGGCTGGTTGTGCTCAGTTGCTGCTACAGTGGTCAAGGAGAGGTCTCATCTGAGGGTGTGGTCGGTATGGCACGTGCTCTCTTGTTTGCTGGTGCTCGTTCCGTGCTGGCGACACTCTGGGCAGTTGATGACGAATCCACAATGATGTTTATGGAGTCTTTCTACCAACAACTTGGAAGAGGAGAAAGTGCAAGTGTTGCTCTTCAAAGGGCCATGAAATGTCTTCGAGACTCCCAGAATTATTCTGCTCCAAAGTACTGGGCTCCTTTTGTTCTGATGGGCGATGACGTTAAGATTGATTGGAAAGAGAGTCATTGAGCAAGTCGTAAGTGGAGATTTTTTTTTCTTGCTGTTCTAGTAACAGAGGGCTTAAAAAGAAAAGCCAGAACCATTCTTGTGAAATTCAGATGAGAGGAAAGTGACAGACTTGATAATAAAAAGAATAAAAATATGTACAAAGTAAGGATGGGTTGGGTGGTAAGTGTTAAATTATTATGGATTCACTCAAGTAAACGCTGTTCCTAACGGGCTACCAACACATTTCAAAAATCAATTGAACACTAGGCATTCCTTAATGTTCTCAATTGTTAAATAGTCTAGGCCAGGTGTGGATAAAAGATATACATAGGGAATAAGTTTCCTTCGTTTTCCTACAGGACTAGCACTATATGTAGAGAAATTCATAGCTTCAAAACGAACGAATGTCTAACATGTTAAAGGTTTTTCATTTTGCAATTTTTCATATCATCATCCATGGCATCCAGAAATTTAACTCTTTGACCATTATTTTGCTTTGAAATGAAAGATTTATTAATGTATCAATTGTTACTTTCTTTACAGGGATGCGCTGAAAGTCTAATGTCAACACAACTGCTGAAGTTGCGTGTATATATCTAGATTTCCCCGAAGAAAGAAGTGCGTTATTTAATAGCTGTCCTCAATGGGGCGTTTGGTAAAAAAGCGTCTTTTCATTAAAGTCATTTTTTGTCAGAAGATATTAAATAGAGAGATTTATAGTCCCGCTAACGGCAAATGGCAAACGTCTACAGATTCAAGTTGCGAATTTCTCAAAATAGAAAATATGCAGATAAAATGAAAACAGCTCAAAGCAATTCTTATGGATAAAACTAACTTGAAACTAACAATTTTTTGTAGATTTATTTAACAGCAAACGAGCAAGCTCGAGAATTAAAGAGAACACTTAGTCACGTGGTACAAATCCACGGTTTGCCGTATATAAACGAAACTCTAAACCTCTCTAATTAATAACATCGAAAAACGTTGTAAATCAAAGGGCATACTGTATACTGTGAAGCTCTATATTAGCCTCGGCTACACTTATCAATTTTAACTTAGGAAAAAGACACGCAATTTTCGTGGGGAAAGAACTTAACGTTGTTTACAAGTATTTCGTTACTCCCTCGAAAATGACTGAATAGTAGTACAGATGATTGCCCCTTTTCTCGTGTAACCTACCTTAACCGGCAAATTGTAATTTGGCAAAGGAAAATTGCATTGTAATAATTGTAATATTGATGATAATAATCATCATCATCATCATAATCTTGATAATCTGTAAAGCGAATGACTGAAACAAATAATTCAAATTAATTTAACAGGGTTAACCCTCGGACGTACACGCAAATTGATACCCCAGCGTGGTATAATGGGGAAGGGTGGATGGAACCCCTCCCCAGAGTTTTTGATCATGATAATTTGCAGTATTTCGAAACGATTTTACCTTCACTGGAAAGCCTTTGATGTACTTAACGAGATGAGGTCTATTTTCAATGGGTGATGGCGCTGCTGAAGGCCTGTGACGTCACCAACAATGGTCGCCATCTTGGATTTCACCAAGAATTAGAAATCAGGTTAAAATCGCGATAAATGATACTTTTCTGTGCTTCACAAGTAAAATAACATTTAAATAAGCCCTTTGCATCATTTCATTGACAACGTTTTTCTTTTATTGCTGAAACAAGTTGAAAGAACATGCATTTTCACTCAAAAATGGCTTGACCACCTGCTACTTAAGACGTCATATGTCGTAGCCATAGTAACTGACCATCTCTGCACCTATCTCAAAATGCGTGCGAGGGATAAACGAACGTCTTCTGAAAAAATCAGCTGCTGATGTTTTATCGTCTAAAAAATAATTTGAAAAAAAAGGGTAGGGGGAAGGGGGGGGGGGGGTTGTACGTCCTAGGGTTACGAATCCCAAGTCTCATAACGGGACGGAGACGAACCAATTAACTATATACAAGCGTGGCCGTGGTTTCAATAGGGTGATTCAGACTTTAATCAGATAATTTTAAAAATTTTAGGTATGCACTGTAAGTATTTTGTGCACTCTGAACCGTGATTCTGAACCGCGGGTCACAATTCAGTGGTTTAAGGTCTGGGTTAAAAGGGTGTATCACGTTTTGTATGATTGATGCCCGGTTTCCCAGCTAAACTAGTTATATATTTTTTAAAAAACAAAAATTAATATGCTCATGTCTTGTTGATCCTTAATGTATAAATTGGTGGACAGTACAAATTGCAGACTGCAGACTGACTGCAGACCATTGTTTTCAGGGTTAGAAAACAATGGGACTAGCAGTGGCTTCATAGCTTAGTTGGTTAGAGCGTCGCACCGGTATTTTTTTCACCTTTCTTACGCAACTGCGAGGATCATTCTTCATTTGATTTCATTCCCACAGTTATCATATATGATTTATTTCATATGCATTTGTCAATGGGACTATTGTTATCGCGTTCCCATTTGCATAGTGAAAACAATGTTTTGCACTGAGAGCAGTCTGCAGTCTTCATTTTGTACTTATATTTTATATTGGGACACACATTGTGTCACTTAATTAAAACTGTTTTTAAATTCAAGTAAAATGGGATTTCAGGGGCGAGTTTGACTTATATGGATAAATTTTTAGCGTTTCATACAAAGAGTAAACATTTTGTCGTTCACGTTTGGGAATGAATATGCTCGTAGTTTTAACAGTAAGTTTTGGACGATACAATGAATAGCCTGCGCAGAGACAGGAGCGAGTGACGGCTGGCGAATTGGACCGTCTGAGAATCATTAGAGTGACTTTTGCCTTATTTTAATAACCCTTTTTTAGGAAAAGCGTTTCATGCCTGCAAACAAAGCACAAAGGGCCCGAAATCAAATTTTCATCCGAGAACAAGATTTATTTTCCTTCTCTATTTTCTCACCACCACTTCCTTGTAGAGCTGAGTCCGCCTCTGTCTCTGCACTCGTAGACTATTTGTTCTGTCGTTAAACTAGGTTTAACTCTTAATCTTGTTTCTTAATTACTGCGAGTCATTTCAATCATAAAAAACGTTTTGGTGTATTATTGCGTTAGTGGTCCAACAGCTTTAATTGATGTCGACTTTAAAGTATCCAAACAGTGGAAGATATTAGATTAAGAATTTGGACGCTACAATAACTTAATGATGTTTTGTTGTAATTGTGCTAGGTTGTAAAAGTTGGGCTTTTTATCAAGTAGATCAGTTCCAGATCAGAACACGTACATAGCAACGTTTTGAGGTTTGGCGTTTGGAAATTACAGCAATCGTTAAAGCTATCATCATTCTATCGAGAATCTGACCTATTTTACTGCCTCTAGGTTGCTTTTCTCGAGGCCATTGACTTTTAGCCATCCCTCAGTTATATTATTTAAAGGAGCTGCTTTAATTTAGGGATGTCACCATCAGGAAAAAGGTTAGGAGGTTGGGGGAAGGCAAACGCATTAGTAATTAAAAAGTCTCCACACGCACCATGATCAAAAAAGTTGTTCGAGGAGGAAAAATAGATTTTCACCTCAGGAGTAGAGAGAAAACTTTCATAGATCTCCCAAAAATTCAACACAACCCGCTACTTTCCTAATGGTTCATCCCTTATACCGCCCCATGTAACGGAATCAGGAATCTGGGAAAAATTTGCATGTGGAATCCGGAATCCTAGGCTTTGGAGTCCGGAGTACAGCTCAAAGAATCCGGACACCCATTAGCAATTCGAATTGAGAATCCAAGTTCCACTGACGAAGACTGGAATCGAGTACCTGTAATCCGGAATCCGTGACGTAGAATCCAGAATCCAAGACTATCTTGGATTGCCTTACATGGGGTGTCTGTCTTTTTTGGTCGGCTTGTTGAACTGCTTCTACTTGATCCCAACACGTTGCACGATACAATGTTTAGTTTCTGATGTAACCTTCAGATAAGTAATGTTGTATTAAACCTGAGGAAAACGAGATGTTTACTGTGATTGTTGATCTCTTCGATGCCTTAAACCATTTTAAAACAACTTCTCCTTGAATTGGAATAGTCGGTATTTGATTAACAAACCACTCCCCCCTCAGAGGCCCTAAAAATTTTCGATTCTAGGACGTTTTTCACATAATTTAAGGCAAGTTTCTGATTCTGTCATCAAATTAACGCGGTTTTGAATCAAGAAAACCAAACTTTCAAGCAGAAGTTTGGTGAAAACAATTTGACCCCGTTTCGCCATACAACGTGATAAGAAGCACAAAGGCACCAAAAACTCATTTCATTATCTTTTCAAAGAGTACCATGGTAGTGACCCACAACCGTGTCACGAGTCTCTTGGCAGCCAAATGACACAGTAAAACAAAAACGTGTTCAAACCAATTTCCGACATCCAGGGATGTACCTTTGAAACAGCAAAGGAAACTTTTGCCCATGTTTATCAAAACTAGAATTTCATCGTTAATCCAAGCAATCTTGCCACTTTCAATTGAAGCAGCACCAATCTACAAAGTGGATCGTCTCATATCGGATAGGTTTCTGTGCAACTCTTCGTCGCAGTTTGAACGGGTAGCGGGTATTCGAACCGTGGCGTTAATAAAAGAGTAGGAGGGAGGACTGAAACCCAGATAAACGGAACTAAATATTAAGCGGAAGTTAGGATTGGGAATTATTTCGCCAATCCCTCTCGGCCAACTACTCCAGACTCGTACCCAGTCGCTATTTATTTATCCCCGCGCGCCTCAATCTTCTCTCCAATCTCCAATCATCTCTCATCCCAAAAACACATAAATAGTGAATGGGTGCGATTGTTGACATTTATAACTACTTCATCGACGTCATGAGGCGAAGTACCCAAAGCATGATTCCTCGTCTTCTTTGGCTAATGATTTTGTTCTATTCTTTGGTGACAAGATCAGAAGAATCCGTCGTGACCTTGATCAAGTCCCACCTTTGGATACTGCTGTAGATAACGGTACTACAGGCTGTCAACTGAACATGTTTTCGACTGTTCCACCGGATGATCTCGTGAGTATCACCGGCTCAACTACCCCTAAGTCCTGTGATTTAGATCCTGTTCCTTGTCATGTACTTAAATGTCTGTTTCCTTCTATTCTCCAATAATACACAAGATTGTCAACCTTTCCTTGGAAACTGGTCGGATGCCTGGAATACTTAAACAAGCTATACTTAAGCCATTACTCAAAAAGCCCTCTCTGGATTCGGACGACTTCAAGAACTATAGGCCTATTTCTAATCTTCGTTTCATATCCAAAACTATTGAAAAATGTGTTGCTAAACAGCTGATTCAATACTTAGATATTAATGACCTTGGTGAAACATATCAATCGGCCTATAAGAGAAACCATAGTACAGAGACGGCTCTTATTAGAGTCCACAATGACATAGCCATGGCTATAGATCAACATAATTCAGTTATCCTAGTACTTCTCGATCTTTCGGCTGCATTTGATACTGTTGATCATGGTATCCTCCTTTCGCGACTGTCCAATCGCTTTGGAATTACTGGAACTGTATTGGAATGGTCTCGATCATATCTTTCTGATCGTACACAGTTTGTGCAGGTTAATGGTGCGTGCTCTGCTTCTCATGTTCTTGAGTTTGGTGTACCGCAGGGATCCGTTCTTGGCCCGTTGTTATATTCAATGTACACATCCCCTCTTGGCGAGATTGCTCGACGTCATCAAATGTTCTATCACTTTTATGCTGATGACACTCAGCTATATATTACGTTCAGGACGTCGTCTGTTTCTGATATGAATCTGAGTAACGCCAAATTGGTAAACTGTGTTCGGGACATGGACGCATGGATGCTTTCCAACAAGCTGAAATTAAATAAAGACAAGTCCGAAGTTCTCGTAATATCCTCTTCCTATCGACCTCGGCCACCACTATCTTCTGTTGATATATGTAATGAGACTGTATCCTGCTCCCCCAGTGCACGCAATATTGGAGTTATCTTTGATCAGTCCCTTTGTATGGTACTTCATGTCAATGCAGTCTGTCAATCGTCCTTTTTCCATCTTCGTAACATTGGTTTCATACGCAAATATCTTACTTATGATGCTGCAAAGATCATTATTCATGCCTTCGTAGTTTCTAAACTTGATTACTGTAATTCTTTATTGTACGGCCTACCATCCTATCTTATTCGGAAGCTTCAACATGTTCAAAATTCTGCCGCTCGTCTTGTCAACCAGTGTCCAAGATTTTGCCATATTACTCCAGTCCTGAGGGATCTTCACTGGCTCCCTGTCTCCTTTCGTATTGAATTTAAAATTATGTTAATTACTTACAAAGTACTAAATGATCGAGCTCCAATCTATATACAGGAACTCCTTCAATTGTATACACCCAGCCGCAATCTTAGATCCTCTAATAGAAATTTATTAGTTAAACCCTATTTTAATCTCAATTCGTATGGTAAACGAGCTTTTTCTGTTGCTGCTCCGGAACTTTGGAATAACTTACCTCGGGATACTAAATCTGCAAACTCAATTGATGATTTTAAACGCAAACTTAAAACATTTCTTTTTATGCGAGCTTACTAATCGTGACGTTTTTATTTGTTATCTGATTTTTTATCTATTGTGTACATTTATCTATTTTGTAGTTAGCGTCTAGTTTTAATGTCAATTTCTTGTGATTATTTTTACTTTTTAGTTCTATCTAATTTTTTGTAAACAGCGCCTTTGAATCTTGTAGAAAAGGCGCTATATAAATGGATTATTATTATTATTATTATAGATTTTCCTCTCCAGGCATGGGCAAAGTCAAGTTTAAGTACACACCTGGTCAATCGTGAAGCATGCAATACTGGAAATTTTAATCATATTTCCAAACATGGTCATGTTAACCCGTGCCTATATTGAACACCTATTGAATGAGGTTTTGTGATATCTGGAATAATCAAAGGTCTAGGTGTTACCAGCCGAGCCGAAAGCTGAGGCTGATAACACTTACCGAGACCTTGATTATTCCGAGTATTACAAAAAGCTAATCTAATCATACATTGTTTTGAAGAAAGTAACTACACACCGTCGCAAGGAACATAGTTTGACATTGCTCTTGGAAATCATGCATTGCACACGCAAACTGCAGACAAGTCAGTTATCTGCTAGCAGATAATTTAAAACTAATCTGTATGTTGCGCTTTCTTTCAAAATAAACTGGAGGCTCTTCGCCAATGAGAAGGCACGCAGTATGTACAATGTATAATAATTTTATTTATAGGTATAACAATTTTTTTTTTGAAAAACATGTCTTGCAAACGGACTTGCAAGGAAAACAAAAAATTCATCCACAGAGTTATTAGTCATTATAATAAAAAAGGATGGTGGGGAATATAAGTGGGGACTGGAAAGACAAACTTGAAAATTTTAGCAAAAGAATTCAAGAGGAAGAAAACATGACGTAGCTAGTCCTTGATTAAACCCCTCGCTAGTAGATGGGTGTGGGAAAGGTAGGGAGCCGCAAGGCAGCACTGCCACAGGAAGTAACTATGACAACCCAGTGAGCGGGAACTAACACGCATCGTCACACTGATAATAGGGAGCTTACGCAACAGGACGGAAGAGTAAAGAAGACGGCAAACCTTCCGTGACAAGCGTGACAATAATTTTGTTGAAATAACTTTCAGCCAAACTTCACCTTTCTTTAAACATATCTTTTTGTAAAAGACCAGAAAATATTAATGACAAGTGAAGATCACGACAAAACTCGCAAGTAATAGCCCTGTCACGTTTGTCACACAAAAGAGTTTTGACGTCCTCTTATTCCTGCCGTCCTGTGCGTAAACTCAATAATATCATGGGTGACAGGTTACTCCTTACTTTTAGCGGCAAATTTCAGCATTAACTTAAAATTTCACTTGTCAAATTACATAATTTGCAATGGCAACGTTCTGTACTTCTCAGTGGTGCCAAGATGGCGTAGAAAATTCAAAATATTATGAATGATGATGTCAGGGCGGGGCATTTAAAGACGCTTTAGAAAACCTGAACACACGAAAGAACACTGTATCAGAACTATTCTAACAGGTATTTTGACGCAAAACTTGTGAACTTAAGCCAAATTTTATGCTCTAAACCTTTCGGTGCGTGGAGTTCTTGATAAGATAAATAAGATATGTCACATAAAATCACTCTTCCTAAGCTAACTTATTCTAAGAATTAGTCAATAGGGCTGCAGATACTTTTGACCACATCTAGTGAGGACATCACATTTACACCCGGAAGGACAAGTAAGGATGCCACGCTGCACCATTCTCTACAAGAACAAATAATTAACAATTATTGGAGGAGGGAGAGAAAAGTTATGTGTTTCGTCAGTTAAGATCATTTACGAACAAATCAATTACTGGTCTATGCCAAGGGCGGACGTAGCAAATAATTGATCTGGGAGACAATAAGAAACCATTATTTTATTTTTTTAAAACCGAGCTCACTTTTTTTCCGTCCCTGGGTATTAACAGTGCTTTATTTTTAGCAGGAAGAGGTTTTCGCAAAATCCCCGAAGTTCAAGAAGTGCATTTCAAGGCATTTCAGTGGGCTTGTGAAACAAGAGTTTCATTGGAATATTTTCTAGTTACATTATTTGGAGCAAGAGAGAGAACACTGGAAACGAGGTTGGACAATGACTGTTAAAATGATGACGTCACGAGTCGTAAAAGGGACGTGGTTACACACGGGCACCCTCTGGCGGTTGAGGGGTGTGCAGAAAGTTCGCTCAATTTCTTTTAACTTGGCTCTGTGACCTTACCAGTAGTAGATGATACGTTTGACCAGTCAGGTCAGGACAATTATAAGTTGCTTGATAAATCTAACATAACGACTCACCTTGTGTTGAGTATCTATCACCATCGCGAACTCTTTGCTATCAGGAGTTAGTTTTGACTGATAATTCCAAAATGAACCAGCTCCAACAATGGCACTGGGCCAAATCTGAAATTCCATTATCTCATTAGCATATAGCGGAGTGCCCCCCCACATATATATAAGTTCCAGGTAGTAAAATGCCATAGAAAGGCCCTTTGGAGCAAACCATCTCAACTAATTTTGTCACCCATTGTTGTTCAAATTAACAGAAAATGGTGCACATCGCTGTTTGCAATGTGTACGGAATCAAGTCTCCGCCAGATTTCTTGATTTTACCATCCAATGAAAACTAAAGCAAGAGATTTGACGAGTTAGTTCCATGTATTATCATTCTGGAATACAGTTAATTGAACTTGCTAATTAAAGAGAGCCAGTTTTCAGATGTGGGATTTCTCTTATTCGAAGGCCGGGACTCGGGATTTTAAAGCAAAAAGGGGGCAAGATTCGGGAGGTGTGTGTGGGGGGGGCTTATATCTCTTATATCTGGATGTCTCTTGTTGTTTACAGGTAAATGGGCCTGTAACTGGGGGAACTTATAAGTGGGGGAGAGGGGGCTTATATCCGGGGAGGGGGACTTATGGCCAGATGTATCGTTTTGTTGTTGTTTTATAGGTAAATTAATGGACCTGTAACTGGGGGAACTTATAAGTGGGGGGGAGGGGGGCTTATAACCGGATGTATAGTTTTGTTTACAGGGAAATGGGCTGGTAACTCAGTGGGGGCACTTTTCAGTTAGGGGGGGGGGGGCTCATAAGAGGAAATTTACTGTATTTACAACCAGAGATACTTACAATTCCACTCACTGACTCAGTAAATTGTGAATCGCTCTCGGGTCCAAACATCCACCATGCGTCAGGTTTTCCTCGCTTGTACAGAAAGCACTGATCTACAAAGCAGTAATCATCAGTCCACATGGCCATCTCACCACCCAGAACAAATGTCATCTCATCTGGATTTAACTTCAAAATAATGCAAACAGACACAGCAAAAGGCTAGATATGTTAAGGGTTATTTTGCGCTATTTGCTATCCTTTAAGCTAAAACGTGTCTTATGTACTAATTGAATTCCAAAGTTTTGTAATTTACTGTTCACTGACTATTTTTCCTTTCGCCTGTTACTATGGATGACAAGGATAGAAATGGATTGAAACTTGAAAAAGTTGGGCCAACTTTAATACGATTCCTGCAAAAGTCACTTGTCAGTTATTTCCATTCAAAGCTCTTGCACCGCTTATACTATCAAAAGATTTCAAGGGTCATTAATGGATTATTTTGAAGATTCACTCATGTTCGTCCTCCTATTTCATTAATAGGGGGTTTAAGCAAAGGCGTTTTTGAGAGATGCAATGTCAATCGGAAGTGATCCTTTTCTCTTTTAATACACCTTGAAGCTGCTAAATTTGTATTGGGCGATTCCAGAAAATATCCATACCATACCACGGACGGCTTTTAGGATTTCCGAAGGGGAGGGGGGGTTCACGATTATGGAATTCTGAGGGCATGGGGGGTATTTACGATTGGAAATCCGAAGGCATGGGGTAACTCCACAGGTGGGATTTCTGGAGTAGAAAGTGTAGAGTGAGTTCCTTGAAAACGCTATTGTTGTGGACTTTTGTAGTTCGTAAATAAACCACGAACGTATGACCGCGGAAGCAGAAGACAAGCATCGATAGATCAGACACGTGTTTACACTCATAACTTATAGAAGTGAACAGTAAAATGTGGGTTTCACATTAACCTTGATGAATTTCTTGTCACATGAAAAAAAAATATGGAATATGTATGTTACTGCTTGCAAGTTTCTTGTTACTCCCATCCGATGAACAGTGAAAAACTCTCACCAGTCCCTGGCTTCCAAGGAACGCCTGTCAGATTAGAACACTTTTCGTGCACACTACATGACCTATAAAAGGACGCAACACGCCTCGACGGTATATTTGACCACCGAAAGATTTTAACAGTCTGAATTTGAGCTATTTTGCTTTGTAAACGTCAAAACAGCACAAGAAAACAAAGAGGAGTAAAATTGCCGTTAGTGGTGTTTATTTTTATTGCCAAATTCGGACCTAAAAAGGAGTTTGCACAGCCTGTCTACTAGCGGTAGGTTAGAGTCTGAAAGCTTGTCGCCTGGCGCCGCTAGATCACAGCCTTGAGGAGGCATAAATTCATGTTCGTTTGTTCATATAGGCGTTGCAAATGCGTTGAAAATGTACTTCCAAAAAACGGAAATTCTGAAGGGGAGGGGGGGTTCACGATTATGGAATTCTGAGGGCATGGGGGGGTAACGCATTTTGGAATTTCCGAAGTCACGGGGGGGATAAAACATGGAAGCCGTCCGTGGTTGGGTATGGATATTTTCTGGAATTGCCCATTGCCAAGTGTTTTTACTCTCATAGAGACCATTTGTCTGAAAATTTGCAAACTGGTACCCAGGGTCTTCTCGTTTTCAAAACCAATAAGCCCCTGGGGACAAGATCAAACTAAAGTAAAGACTTTAATAATATTATTATAAATGGTAGTTACCCCGGCTGTAATATTAGTCCATAGTGCACTAAAATCCACAAGGCTACTTAGGTAAAAGTTGCCGCTCAGAGAGTTGATCCTGTCAAATTGAAAAACAAGATGGAGATGAATAATAATATAGACAAACCTCTCCTACGCAAACAGATCAAATAAGGATCGGTAAAATGCCAAATATGTTTGAACTTTTTGCTTTCTAATTAATGTTTTGTTGGGGCAAAACAACTTTTTACTTCAGAAGTTCAACTTTACAAGTCTTAACTCAATCAAAAATATTGTTAATTTGTCAAACTTGATATCATTTATTATACAGTCAGCTTTCTTTCTTGCTTACACTTGAAATCCGCCATCTATAAGGGTTTTTACTACTGAGCCTTTCCATGTCTGGAGCCCTGTTCCTTTTATTGCCTATGATGAAATCATAATAAATAAATTAACATTAAGTCAAAAATAAATAAATAAGATTTAATAACAACCAATAATCTGCATGGACATTTTTACAAAACGCTGCTCTTCATCCAGGCAAAAAAGATGCATGTTATATAATACATAATGCTTACAGCGGAAGTTGATATCAAAGCCTCTTGCCAGGCATATGGAATTTTTCCTTTCTGTACTAGAAACTTCATTAGTTCTTGCTCTAGGCTTTTGGTATCTGTGTAGAAAATAACCACCCACGTTATTGCATTTACAAAGATTTGCTTTTACCTGAAGTAATGCTTGACAACATACTATGTCAAACTTAAAGGAAATCACTACTACGTGATGAAAGCTTGCATCCAGCATTCACTCGAATTAACTGCTGCATTTTGGACAAAGAGGTATATTTATTAATAAATGCTGTCCCCAAATGAGGGCCGTAGTCAGTCACTCTATATGATACACCATAAGACTGATTTAAATTATTGACATCAAAAGATACTAATTCTGTAGTTTAATACGAAAAACAAAAATGTCATAGTTAAAAAATCCTTTTGTCGCATTTGACCAACTTTCAAATAAATGCCTCCTCCCAAAACTGTCCTTAGCTATTAATCAAAAACCACACTATCTTCAATTATTTCAAAATGAGAAGTTACAATAATTATATATTCATTAGTAACAAACGTCAACCTATTATTTAATTATTTTAAGAATATATATGTTACATAGCTATTTTTTCTATCTCAAGTAATTTTTACTTTTCTTTTGTTTCAACTTTATTAGCATACATTCCCACATCCGAAAAAGAAAAGAAAAAGAAAAATTACCTGAAATAAAAAATTAAGTAGAAATTAACATAATAACATGCATGTAACGTTAAAGAGTGATTATGTTTCAAAGTTTTTATTATGCCACAATCAACTTTTAGTAATTTATTAAAATTGACCTACTTTGTATGCTGCACAAATTGGATGTTGTGACTTCATCTAAACCCAGGTGAAAGAACTGGTCTGGAAACAATGTCATCATTTCTTCAAGGATATTTTTCATTGTGGTAAGAGTTACTCCCTTGTTGAAGCAAGTACACCATAAGACTCATTAATAAAAGTAATGGTAATAATAATCATAATAATAATAATAATAGTTATTATTATTATTATAGTAATAATAATGATACTAATTGGATATCATATACATAAGTAAAACAAACACTGCTAACATGTATTAACTAAAGGACTCAAACTACGGAAAAACCTTCTCATAATGATAAATTATATCTTTTAGACTAATCAAGCCTTATGAAAAGAGGCTTTTAGTGTTAAATCTGCTACATAATTAATTGATTAATTGGTGTTTTGTAATAATTTAATAGAGGACACTTCAACTTGAGGACTTTTGCCAAGTCCTGAGGGGAAACCAGATCACCCAATAACACTTAGTGAGGCCCTGCCAGGGTAAATTCCGACAAGCGACGTGGCCCAAAAAGTAGCGACAGTGCATAAAATGAAATCGTGACAAGAGACAACCTCCCTTGGCCAAATTGTGACAGTGACGGCAAAGCCGACAATAAGCAACAAGCATTTATAAACACCGCCACGAGACTCGCCTCGCACCCAGACGTCTCTCTTTTGATGAAAATGTGCGGTTCATCACCAGTCACTCGTTTCGCGCTCGCCTCTGCCATGCGAAAAAACAAAGCGCCTGAGGAGGAGGCTGGACACGAGACGTTTTAAAATTCAGATGGGCGACATAATTGACCCCCCCCCTCTCCCCCGGCAGGGCCTCCATATGAACAAAAAACAATGGATTTATTTACTTTCTTGAAAACTTTGCTATTAAATAGCACATCAATTCAGCTTTGTAGTAGAATATTAGACAGGCATGAGAAGACTTTAAAAAATTAAAGCAATAAGAAGGCTCCAACAGTCTCCACTTTTTCTACTTGCTTTGGTAGTTCACTCAGCACTTTAATCAGCCTTGTCAACTGCCTGTCAATAGAAATCTCGAGGTTTGCCTTCCTTGGTTAAAAAATTTTCTTATGTAGCCAAACAGATAATCAGCAATAGTCATCAGTAGTCATGGATATTTTGAATGGAAACTCTGAGAGTTGATTGCAGTTAATTTTACCTGTGGGTCATTATAGAGTTCAAGAAATCCTGAATCATTGCAGAATCTCAGTCCTTTTGTTTTGTTGATCAGACCAATCATTCCAGCAACATGCATGGGAACTGCATAATAACAAATATAACATAACAATGTGAAATAAACCAACTGACAAACAAGTAACTAGTGTGTTTTGTTTGCCTCCAGAGGGGGAAAAACAGGAGAACCTAATACAAGACTTGTAAAACATAGCAATAATCTTACATGGACCACAGACATGCTGACACTCACATGCACTTACAGTCCATGTACATAAAGACTTGATGTCTGAGAGCCTTTCCACCCTTCATTATTGAAAGAAATGTTTCGTAAAAAAAAATATTAATTGTCGAAGTAGGGCAATATTATCAACTGATTAATTACTAGTTAGCTGACTGTTCCATCACAGACAGAGCACAAGGGAATCTAGTGTTTGGTGCAAGCCAGCTTCCCCCTTCCCTCTCCCCCACACCCACCCCTCCACAGCCATAAAACGCCTCAATAGACCTTTGTCATGTGGCAGCCCTTTTGTCTCAGCAGAGACAAGAGAGACAAAATGGCCGCCGTGTGACAATGGTCTATGCCACCCTTTTTAATTTTTAATTGCAAACTTACGCTGATTCAACCTCTGGAATAACTCTTATTCCTCTGTCACCTGCATAAGATACTAAATCTTTGATTTGCTCCTGGGTATAAAACTGAGTTGTGTGTTCTTGTAGTTCTGGGTAACTGAAAAGAATAAGAGAAAAGATGAAACACATTTAAATAACATAAATTTTGTATTTCAGTTGCAAAATGTAACATTCCTACAATCCAAAGAATGAATTACTAACTCCAGGCACAGTTTCAGGTAGCCTTTCATGCAGGCTAATTTGGGGGAGCTCGTATTTCATCCCTCCCCATAAATGCCTACTCAACCAGGTGGTACCAGGGGGTACTGGAATACACAGGATATTATAAACTATTCGACATGTGTCGCTGTGAAGGGAATGGTTTTCAAACAGTTTAGTCTGGAAATAGGGTAATTTTTTTTATTAGAAATCAGGGAGTTCTTGCCATTTTGGTTGGTTGCTTATATGAGAGCTTCAACTGTACTTTGAATACTCACAGTTTGCTCTGTACAAGTGAATCTACACCAGTCCAAAATATGCAAGTGAAGCACATTTAACTTCACAAAGCTCATGCCATCCAAAATGTTCTTCACAAGCTCAAAAGAAAAATATCTACGCCTGTAAAAAAAATATACAATCAATAGCAACAAAATCTTTTAACCTCCACTGAAAAAATTAAAAATTATTGAGAGATGAATGCATGATGCTAATACCCAGTGTCTAACATAAGGCCCCTGTGCACATATTGCGGTTGGTCATCAATATTGACTGTACTGTTTATCAAATTTCCATCTACAATCAGTTGAGAAAAAGTTTCCATTCCATACCTGCAAGAGGAGTCAAAATCAATCTCACACTTTTAATATCTGCTTAACTGAAGTGCCCTTAGCTTGGCTGGAATCCACTTCAGGATCCTGCCTATTAAACTCCAGATTTTATAAACTTGACCTCCGAAACAGGGTTTTAACCCAGAAGCGAGGACGGGGCCGGGGTGGGTGGGGGTGGATAACGCTATATGTGGGATATATAGCTGTCATATATAGGTATCAGGCATTCTCTTTTTCCCTCTCTTCTCACAAAAACGAAATGCTTGATCAGGCCAGTGCAGGTTCAACTCACCATGGATCCTGGCTACAGTATATCTACTGCCCGGTTGTCGTAAAATGAACTTGGAATCACTATCTTCCTTCAAATCTCAATTTTTCTTTACAAAGGAGTTATCATATCAGAATCTACTGCCTAGGCTAGTGTCTTTTTTGCCAAATTTCAAACCAAGGAGGGATGGGTATGGGCTGGTTTGTTATGGGATAAACAACAGGAGACCTACTGTCAAGTAGTCAGGAAGAGTCCATTGAGATTAGCAAAAATCTCAAGTCTGGTGTCAATCGGGCCAATAATGGACAAGATACAGCTATTTATAAACTTGAAAATTAATAAGAGATGTATGGATTGCGGGACACACACTCTGGACATCTATATATTTTTCTTAGTAAATTTTGGAGGTTTTGAATGCCTGTATCTCGTTCGATATAGGCCCAATAAACATCAAGCTTGAGAATGTTGCTAACCTCAATGTGCTCTTTCTAGTTATGTAGGCCTCCTGTTGTTTATCCCATAATAAAGGGATTCGTACCCAGCCCCTCTCGGTTGGAATTGATACCTGAGGAGAACGGCATGTCAAAAACGTTTTTGGGTGGGGTGGGGAAAGGTGAGGCGAGGGGAGTTGGTATGACTATACTAGTTAAACATATTTTAGGTCACTTACAGTGCACCATAAGGGGTTTTCGCTTCAATACTAGCCTTTCCATTGCTTACTTTTAAAATGTACCAGTAGGAAGTATCAACTTGCAAACTTTCGTTGTCACTGCGAACACTCAGAACAAGTTCACTCAAGGTTTGGTTAGTATTCTATTCACATACATTCATATTCATGCTCAGTTCTAATAAGGTATGGGAAAAAAGATTGATCAGCGCCCAACAGCCCTCACTGTTCCTTAAATAGTCTTAGATAATTGCACTCCGACTCTCAGATCCTCTTACAACTTCCCAATCCTCAATTCTCCAACCTCTCTCATAACTTTAATCCCCAAGTACAGTAAGACACAGCTATACGTTTACAATTATAATCAAACTAAACTAGTATGAGTTTCCATAACAACATCTCTTTATTAAAGAAACGATAGTACAAAGGTTATAATCCATTCCAAAAACACCCTAGCCAAACAACGTATCCTCATTCTGCTGGGCGTTTCCTCTGCTCAGCAGCTGGAAAAGCACACACAAAACGTTTCAGCTGATTCACATCCTGCCATGGAGCCACCACATTCTCAGCAGAAGGCGTAGCAAGTCGTCCCGACGGGCCATCATGTTTCAGAACCTTGGCCAGCTGAAGGTAATATAAGGCGGTATGCCTCCTAGCCCAACCCACGTGTTCCATAATCTCAGACAGATCCGCTCCTGTGAGGGCCAACGTTACCCGGGGGGGTACTCCCATACATTACATATACGGGTATGTGCCGCCCAAAGGGGTCGTGATTTTGAAGCTCCTGATTTAGAACGGGGTATCCATTTGAGAGGTGTTTTCTAGAACGGGGTATAATATTTGGAACGCACGAAAGCTCCATTTTTGTTGGCAGCCATTTGAAAGTATTCAAGGACAGATTGCTTTTAAAAATACGGTTCAATGCGTTAACAAGCAAACCGTTGTACTCTTGTTGCACCCTAGAACGGAGTATAAAAA